CAGTCATGTTTCAGCATGGAGTAGAGCTCACTTGAGAGAAAAAGCCAGCCCTGGCTTCACACTGGCTGTGGTTTCTCTTCCATCAGGATCTGCAAATCCACTTAGTAAGCATGGATTGGGTTTTAAGTAGAAATAAAGACCATTAGATATAAATGCCTCTAAAGATAGGAAGGATGGAGGTGAGCAGTGGGCCCTTGGCAGTCCTGTGTGCTCCTGGCCTGGGAGGAGGGGGATGGCCATATTAATGCAAATGTGGCTTGTTGTGGAGGAGTAGTTTGCTTGGGCAAGGGGTTCTAGGTAGATCTACATGGCCAGGTTTTTTTCAAGACAGGATCTGTCAACCTAGCCCAGCCTGGCCTCAGAGTCACTCCTGCCTCAGTGTCCCAAGTCCTGAGATTACAGGTGTGTGCCACCACATCCAGCCAATGTCTAGATTTTTAACTCCAGCTCTCCCATTTATCAGGTCTGTGGCTTTAAAGGAACAGTGTTTGTTAGTCTCAGTTTGGTAATCTATAACATGAGGGTACCAGACCTCCCTCCCTCACTGGGTTTGGAGATGAAAGAAGGTAATGCATCAGATGCTCAGCCCTGCCCTGGCAGTTTTGTGGAATTCCTAAGAGGAAAACATGGTTTTGAAGAATTATCAGCTTATCACATGCTTGGCTTGTCAAGAATTAGCAGTTGGTGTGAGAGCTGCAGCATCAAGAGAGTTACATTCATTGGGAGCCCAGCAGGAAAGCAGATCAGCTGGCAGGTTGAAGGAGGCCCACATTTTTGCTGCATGCTGCTTATGCTCCAGTCTTCTTGCAGATAGTTCTGCATCTCCTGGGACCACCTCTACCTTTGTCCTGCCAGGACTATAATTTAGAAAATTTCCGTGGAAGTGGACATGTTGGTTTGGTGGGCCTGCTGGAATAGGATCAAGTGGGATGGAGTCCCTGATGCTGGCACCTCTTTAAGTATTGCAATACTTACATCAGCAGCAAAGGCAGGGCAATTAAACACAAAAGGTGCTTTCCTTTTAAAAATGTAGTGAAAGCCAAGGCATGCTCATTTGTCCTCTTGTTACCTTTGCTACCTTGTCCACACCATGTTGTTTCTTCTCTGCCATGCCTATTTGCCATCCCTTCTTGGAGTCAGCCAATTATTGGCATGCTTATCTGTAATCCCAGATGCTCAGGAAGTTGATGGAAGAAGAATCCCATATGATGTGAGACATTTATACATACCAAAATATTTCAAAGGTAAAATTACTTCTAAAGAGTTTGTTTATATCTGAGAATTTAACTCCAAATGAATCAGTTTCATTGTAACCTGAGAGATTGTTGTAAACAAATAGTTCTTAGAAGTGAGCCCATTACAAAGAGTGAACTGATACATTCTTTCTTTTCTTTTGGACATCTATCTAGGAATGGAAGGGTTGAGTGGTATAGTAAACCTATATACAACTTTTTCAGAAAAAGAATTTGGGGAGGGGGTACTGGGGATCAAACTCAGGACCTTGCACTTGTGAGGCAGGTGCAGTGCTACTGGGCTAAATCCTGGCACCAGTATAACACAATTTCAAATAAATAATTGAAATAGAGGAATGCTGTTGAGTCTCCAGAAGGTTAAAGGTTCAGATAGCTGCACTATTTGAAAGGGAGAGGTACTTATAAATGATTAGGATTTGACTGGAGAAATAGTTAAATGTGTCCATAGTGCTGTGAGAGGAACAAGAGTTTGTTCTAAAAAGGTACAGAAGATGTAAATCCCTAGGCATAGAGCATCTCATGACAATATCCTACTGGAATGGTGAGGGAACCAACAATACACAGGACAACACAATGGATGATTCACAGTAAATCAGCTGTTTTCCATTCATTTGTCATATGGATATGAGTTCCTGCATCTATGTTTTTCAATAAGTAATACTTCTTGCATGTTTTGAGTCCACATACAGTTTCCTAGAATTGTCTTTTTCATCTTCATTAATAAGCACAGAGAGGAAAAAAGGACGTTCCTCATTTAAAGACATAAATTTGATTTGAGTATATTAATCTCATAACTCATCAATATTGATATAAAGAAGATGAATAAACTGTAAAGGGGAGCACTGCCTCATGTCCACTGACTTGAAGCTGTGATGTACACTGAGCCTAAAGAGGAAGGTCATGATCATTCCCTTAGGCCCTCCTGAGCTGCAGATCTCTTTGACATGTTGTCTCCAGCTGCTCAGAACAGCTCTGGAAGGAGTGGTGACAGACAAAAGCTGCAGAGCAGTAGAAAGCAGGTGACATATGTGTCAATTGTATTTGGGGTTTTGTCTTACTGCTTACCATGGTGCTTGCCCTGGGAAGTGGTTCTGATATGCAAAGTGTTCTGGAGTCACACTGAAACATGTTCATATGAAGAAAATCTATGAAAAGCATTCAAAGAGATAACTCATTTATATAGTATTCTAAAGCAGGTGTTGATATATTTGGCAGTTTATTTTGTTCAGAAACTGTTAATTTTACTACTGTTTTGTAGTAGGTAAAAAATACCTGAAATACATGTCTTAAAAATAAAAGGATTTTTTTAGCTCATGGTTTCAGAGAATGAAGTCAGTTGTTATCAGACTTGAAGGGAGAAATAGTGGAAATAGTTCATAGTGGAAAGAAATGAAGAAAGACTTCTACATGAGAAGCAGGAAGCACAGAGCAAAACAGGTGTCAGAGAGGAAGGTGGAGGGAGAAGATAAGGTCCCTAATGTCACAACTTCAAGACTCAACCAGGCACACCAGCGGTGTGTTTTACTAATATCCTTCACACCTCTCGTGCCAAACAAGATATTGAACAAGAGTGTCACAGGACTCCAGGAAATATTTTCCTTCTAACAATATTAATGTGTTGAAAGACAGAGAGTTGCAACTTTTGAAGAGAGAATTACAGGGCACAAGGAGCTTACAGTCTGAAGTCCTTAGGTTTCCCTGCCTCAACACCAGAAAGTGTGTTTATTCAGCAATCATATGCCTCTCTTTGACATTTTCTTCTTAAATTAGAATGAGTAAGTCAAGAGATACAGTATGGGAAAGCCTTGTCCATGAAGCCAAGAATCTTATTCCTAATTTCCTTCTGTTCACGAGAGCAGGCCTCCCTCTTTTCCGTTGTGTCCTGGCTTTGCCTGGACTTGCGACACTCATAGTGATTTCTCCATGGTGAACTAACTCTCGAACTGGCTTAGCAGACTGGTGGCCCCATTTGGAAAAGCAACACACAAGAAGAGCCCACCAAGTCCAGTAAGAAGACTGGGGTAGTCAGGCATGGTGGTGCATCCCTGTAGGCCCAGCACTGGAGAACCTGATGCAGGAGGGTCACAGAGAGCTCAAGACCAGTCAGAGATACATGGTGAGGTCCAGAGCAGACTCAATTACATAGCAACACCCTGTCATAAAACAAAAAGAGACAGAACCAGCTCTGCAAAGCCAGAGCAAACTTTTCTTAAATGCAGGCTAGGAGAGATCAGCATCCTGGGAGACAAACTGGTCAAGAAGTGTCTGGGTTATAATCTCCCATTTGACTTGTGCTCACACTGGTAAAGATTCGCTTCTGTCGTCACCCTCCGCTCAGGAGGCGGGCAGTGGAGCAGGAGCCAATCAATGTTGAGGGGCGGGATGTATGAACTGTCCAATCAGATGTCCCGGGCGGGAGGACTTTGTTTCCTGGTGGCAAAGCCACAGATCCAGAGCTCAGTGCTGAGAGCTGCCCCACCCTGGTAGACCGCCCTACTTTATGATTTCTACTGGTGGCAGGCTGCATGGGAAGCACCCGCAAGACCCTCTAGACGTGCAATGGTGATGTTGTGGGATGGGTGCCCTGACAGGGGTGGTCGGGGTGAGTTCTGAGAGAAGCGTGGGAACATCAATGGCGGCCAGGGCCTCCCCGCTGCTCCGGAGTCAGAGTTCCTCCCGGTCTGGGCGCCTTGTACACTCTGTCCCTCCCGCCCTGCCTCGGGCAGGTCTACTGTGTGTGCAGCACCCCATCTGTCCACTGCCACCCCGCCAGCCTGGAGTGCAGTCTCGGCAGCCACAGCCCACAGCTGCATCTCTAGCTGTGCACAGAGCCTGGGGATTGTGGGCAGACCCTGGGGATTGTGGGCCGATCCTGATTCTGCTGGTAATCAAGCTGGAGGCTGTGGTGTGCTAGATCCCTAGTCTCATTTGTCCCTCCAGCAGATCTGCAAGAGCTCAGTTTTATAAATGTGTGGGATACAGGGTCTCAGAGCCACACTTCAGCCCCTCAGGCCAAGGCTGCTCTGTGATGGGAGTAGATTGCCAAAATTCCAACATGTGCCCTCAAGCCAAACTCAGGGTAAGTGATAATCAATGCCCTGAGAATTGAAAGAAAGGATTGCCTGCTTAATTGCAACACTGGGGAGGCCGAGGCAGGAACTTTTTTGGAGTTGGAGACCAGTGACCTCAAGGCCAACTATATAGTGAGACCCAGAGACAAACAACAAGACAAAAGAAATCAAAAAGAAGAAGAGGAAGAAGAGGAAGAGGAAGAAGAAGAGACAAATATTCAATATTGCTGGGGACATGAGTCAGTGGTAGAGTGCTTGCCAGGCATGCAGTGAACTCCTGTGTTACGTACATAGAAGTGCAAGAACAATTTTCATCTTAATGATTGATGTGCCACCTCTACTAACAGACCACTTAAGTGAGGCCTTCCCATGGAGCTTAGGATGCAGAGAGAAGTGGAGGGGATGTTAACTGTTAGCAAGGGCAGGAGAAAGTGTTCCTGCTAAGGACCACTTCCAGAAGGAGCTGCATGTTACATAGTGTGAGAATCATTAAACTTGGGCATCTATACTGACATGTGATTTGGTAGGAGTGGAAAAAGAGAGGGATAGCACCTCAAATAATTACTGTAGATCTTGGACCATAGACACTGTTATAAGAATTGAAATGCTGATTGAGGTGGACTTTAGTTTGAGGTTGGTAGCCATATGAGTGGTCAGTGACAAAGGACTTTTCTGTGCAGGAAGGAGCAAATGGAAGGAGAAAGAAAGTGGGAGAGGAGGGGATGGTGATGGTGGTAAAATCCATGCTTACAGCAGACAGGGTCTTCCCCTGAGGTCATACTTTTTTCTAGTGTGGCAGTAAGGGCATTGTGTGCTGGCTCAATCTGAGAGTGGGTCAAACATCACAGGCACTAAGAAAGAAGTCTTTGTAAAATTTAGATAAATTTGTCTTCTGGCACTATTAATCAGATAAACTAATCAATTTTCTTTGTTTTTCAAGGGTTCTGCCAAGTAATTCAGGCTGGCCTTGAACTTATTATGTAGCCCAGGTTAGCATGCAGCTTGTGGCCATCCTCTTAAGTGACCCTCCTGAGTACTGAGACTACAGGTGTGTACCAGCAAACTTGTCTGAAATTTCTTTTGGTTTTGGTACCTGGGATCAAACTCAGGTCCTTGTGTTTTTGAGGCAGGGGTGGTGCAGCTGAGCTAAATCCCCAGCCCTGTCTGTAATTGTTTTTGAGGAAAAAGTGGAAATTAGAAAATTGTTTGGCTTGCTCTGGCTTAAAAATTGATGGCTATCATCAGCTAAATGTAATGGAAAGGAATTTCTCTAGGATACAACAGATTTTAGGTGATTGATGTTTTTATTGTACAGAAGATTTAACCTGGGACTTTTCTCTGAACTACATTCTCCACACCTTTTAATATTTTCTTAAATTTTGTGATGCTTTCATCACAGAGCAGCATTGGTCTGAGGAGCTCATTATGTTGCCAGGGCTGCAGCAAAATTTTGATCTTGTTTCAGCCTGCTGGAGTGCTGAGATGCCAGGAATGTGCCACCATGCCTGGCTAAGCTAGGAGCTTCTTCATCACCACTGTTAACCAGGATCACTGCTTGGTTAAATGAAACTTCAGTGAGGCATGGTGCTCCCCACCTTTCATCTGAGCCATTTGGGACACTGAGGTGGGATTATTGCAATAGCAAGGCCAGGATGAAGAGTGGAGCAAGACCCAGATCAACATACAGCAAAATCACTGGAGCTATGTTTCTAATTAAAGTAACTTGTGTAACATGTGCAAGGCCCTGAATTCAGTCCAGTACTAAAGCATAAAGGAAAAAGTGATTAATAATCAGTAGAAAATTTACTTTGATTTGGAATTTTATACTGTTTGCACACTAGTGGTCTGTGGTGCAATACTTGCTCCAGATGCTGGGCAGCAGCAGTGAGTCCCTGCTGTCAGTGACAGGACACCAAGTGACAACATCCAGTGATCTACATTGCAGCACATTCAATAAACTACATGGGGTATTTAATATTTTATCATGAAATAAGCTATGTGTTACATACATTTTCTAACATACAGGTTAGTATAAGTGTGTTTATCAGTTTTAAAGGAGGCAAGGCTTAGCAAAGTTTGCTAGATTATGTATGTTCAGTGCATTTTGAATACATTATAGTTTGAACTGCCTGTGGGTTGATCAAGATATTTTCCCCTGATTACTCAAGCAGGATGTATAGACTCACTCCTTCAACTCTTTGTAAAGTGCTTCTCTGTAGAATATGAAACATATCAGGTAGTACCCTGTGTTGAGTGCTGTATTAATCAGGTTCTTCCAAGGAACTGAACTGGGATACATTATGAGTAGTGTTTTGATTTTTTAAAAAAAGTAGTGCTATGGCTTTTGTATTCTGGTTTTAGTTTGGTTTAATTTGTTTATTTACTTGTTGTGGTACTGTAGAGAGGTGCATCAGTCTGGTCATATTCTCTGACTTGTTCAATGAGGACAAGAGAATAGGATAGAAATTACCAATGGTCAGACACATGGCTGAGCAGTTTGACCACAACACACCAATCACATATACTGCTAAAGGGAAAACTCTTCTGTTCCTAGTTCTATTTTGTGCTAACTGTGGGAACCATTCTTAGTGTCTCAGTCTTGGAGAAAGTGTTTGGCTTTCTACCCTTTTCTGTTTTCCCACTGCCTCTTCCTGGCCTTAATGAGCTGAATTCTTGTCTGTCTAGAACAGTCACCTCCCAGACTTGTGCTCTTTTTCCTTTACAGTGACTTACATCTTTCTAGGGAAAGAGATGACCATGAGCATTTGTTCTGTGTTCTATATGTGGCTGGGGTCTGTATTCCTTGAATCCTCGAGTTCTCCTGAATTGCTCACTGTGTGGACAACTCTCTCATGTTATCATTCTGGAGAATCCTGTGGGAACAGCCTCTGGAGAAGGGCACAGCTGAGATAAACACAGAGCTTCACTTCACTCACCCCTAGTTGGCCTCTACATTGCCAGTCTGTGTCATCATAGCACAAGATGTAGAGATCTTTGCTGGTTTTAGGTCCAGTAGAATCTGAAAGGCAGTGAGAGAGGAGGAGAAGAGAAAAAGCACCTGACATGGTGGCCCATACCTGTAATCCCAGCACTTTAGAGGCTGAATCAAAAGGATTGCCATAAGTTTGAGGCCAGAGCCTAGGCTGCTTAGTGAGATCCTGTTTCCAAAAGAGAGGGCAAGAAAGTGTTCAGGTACAGATTGAGATTTTGGTGTCACTCAGCTTGGGTTTGTAATATAGAGTTAAAAAAATGTCATTTTGTGGGGTCTTTTTGTCTTCTCAGGGTCCCATGTCATCCAGAAGCTTGTGTGTCCACTACACCTGCTAGGTCAGAGGTTTTCAGCCACTGGTGATTCTATACTTGAGAAACCATGTGAATGTAACATAACATCTCATTTATATTTTCTAGTTATGGAAAAGCAGGATTTTCAAGTTATGCCTGTGATATAAATACACCGGAAGCATTCTCTTTCTTGCTGCCTTAGAAGCAGATTAGAGGAAATGCCACTGAGGCTCAGGAGCATGCTTGCTAGTGCATAGCAAGTGTATCAATTAAAAATCTGATACACACCATCCACACTACCACCAGGGGGCAATAATTCCTCTTTTTCTTCCCTACAAACTCAAATTTAATGAATTTTACTGATTTGAATTGATATTCCTTTCCATTTTTCCTGTCTTTTATGCCTTCTTTTTCCCCCTTTTCCTCTGTAAGCTCTTCTGTAATTTATTTGCTTATGTGTTCATATTTGTGTTGAGATAGTTCTTTAATAAGCTATTTTCAGGTTTTTATCACTTGTAGAGAATGAAAATACCTTGTACAACTTATTTTATCAAGGGTATTCTCTACTGAGCAAAAGTTCTGTTACTTTTTGTATCTTTTTATTATCACCTTAACATTTGTGTCTCTACAAATTTATATCTGAAGATTTTTCCATGCTTACCAGATGAGAAAGTGATTTTCTTAAGGCTTCTTCCATGTTTTACAGTTTCTTATTTCATATTTTTGCCTTGTAGCTCCCTGGAGTGCACTTTTAAATGTTTTTGATGGGAAAAAAATCAGGTTTACTTGGCCCATATAATGTATAATTGTTCACCATAAATGTGTGATCAATCCCTTCTTCCTCTTGATTTTTACTGCCAATCATATCAAATCTCACTTTAGAATACAGTATAGTTATTGCTTGATATTTGTTACAAATTTAGTGCATCTAAATTTTTTTTATATTCTGACTTAAGTGACCCTAACTCTAAAGTGTGTTGCAAAAATAGAAAGGAAAACTTCTCTTTACGTTTTTATTTGAGATTTTTAAAATACAAGGCTGTCCTTTGTTTTACTGAAGCGATTCTAGAAGGTTTTTGTCACATTCATAGTTGCTTCAGTGGTATTATAAATATACTTGTACTAAGAATAGAGTTTGAAAATTTTGTATCATATCACATTGTAAAATGTATCTGTATATTATTTTCTACATATTCAGATCATCTTCTT